CCGTATGGCAACATAGTAAAGATTAAACTTTTCTTAAATGCAAATTTAATTAATTGGTAACAAAAGTAGGGTATTCTCACTGGAAAACTATTGTGAAATATAAAATAAGCCAATGTTAAAGTTTTTTCAATAAGTACAAAAATCCCCAAAGGAAAAAGGTCAATGTAATTGTATCAAATGAAAGCTCTTGCAACATTTAATATTTATGGAGAGTATGGAAGGCCTAGCCCTTACTATGGCACGCCAAATTCACAAAAATGAGATAATCATATTTACAACGAAAACTAGGTTTATCGGTTTTTAAATAATTTTACGGACTGTAAACTATAGTTAACAACGTTAATTTTAATTTCAATTGTAAACATAGTTAACGCGATAATCTATGTTTCACAACCGTAAACTATACCACAGGAGTCTGAAGTTTTAATGTCAAAAAAAAAAAAAAAAAAATTCCGGAAAAAAATTTTCCTCCCCTTTAACTAAAAAAACCCCAGGATGGCAACGTGTTTTGGGGGGCCCCACCTATACAAATAATCGGGGCTTGGTCAAAAATCTCGCAACTAATTTAGTATCCGGAGTGTTTGTCCTTTTATTCAAGTTAAGAAATCAAATCTGCTTGACGACTACGGGCTGTTCATGGCCTGTTTTCCAGTTTACAGCCACCCTGGACTCCATGCCACAAAACCGGAAGTGAACTCCGAGGTGAATATATGACGTAATTGAAGAAAAAAACCCAAAAAAAAAATGCATGTAAAACTTCATGTACAATTTTATGTTACCATAGTGATCAATAAAAAGATATATTTTTCAAACAAAAAAATGTTTTATAAGGGCGCTTAGTCTAACTGTCTGGCTCTTTGTCGACATGGCTTTTCAATGATTTAAATTTGGCGCTTGTAAAAACTGAATTATCTGTCCTTGGTACACATCGTCTAAAGTAAGAAAAAGAATAAATAATTTTTTAAAAGTTTTTAAATATATTTAAAATAACTGAATAAAATTACGTTGAACAATTATTTATTTTATTTCATTTGAACAAGTATTCATAAACGTCAAATATACACTGCGAGATTCTCTTCCGGTTTAGTGGCATGGAGTCCAGGATAGCTGTCAAATGGAAAAGGGGCTAGGAACCCCCGTTGTCAAGCAGATTGAATTTTTCACATTAAATGAATAACAAAAAGCTCCGGAAACTGAATTAGTCGGAATTTTTCTGGCCAAGCCCAGATTTATTTGTTTAGGTGGGTCACCCCAAAAAACGTTGCCATCCTGGGGTTTTTTTAGTTGAGGGTAGGAAAAAAATTTTCCGGATTTTTTTTTTTTTTTTTTTTTTTTGGGCGATTAAAACTTCAGACTCCTATGACTATACTTAACACCGAAAACTATCATTAGCGATTGCAAAACATAGATTATCTGATAAATACAGTTTTTCGATTTGTAAAATATAGTTTACAAACCGTTAATATAGTTAACGAATGTTAATTATAGTTTACGATTGTAAAATATAGTTTACGATTTAAATTATAGTTTACGATTTTAAACTATAGTTAACGGATGTATTTAAGGTGCCGAATTCACAAAAATGTGATAAATATAGTTTTACATTTGAAAAATACAGTTTACAAAGAGAATCTCATATTTTGTATTGGAGATGCATACTTTTTGTTAAACTATATTTTACGACTCTAAACTATAGTTTACGATCAAAACTATAGTTAACAATATTCTGTTCGTTCATCATAGATACGTTAATCTTAGTAACAACATGTCAAAACGTTGCCTTTACAAGGATCATTTTCATTGGTTGTTATATACTTTTTGACATGAAAAGTTAATTTGTAATGAGTTTCAAGCAAATAAAATGTTTAATGTTAAAAAAAAACTTATAGAAAAAAAATCATAAATATAAAAAAAAAAAAATTAGAAAAAAAAAAGGGGTATTTTGGCGGTGCGGCGGAAGCTGATGTGCGATGAGGCCTAAACAACAAAATATGGGTAATGTCTTCATCATTTCATTGATAGTCATTAAATATTTCCGAAAACTAAGTATTGTCTATGATCAGATATTTATATGTTTTGTCTAAAAATCTTTATCCAGCTAGTAACTGGCCGATGAATTATGAAAAATTGTAACTTGAAAAAAAAACGTGACGTAGCAATTTTGTAGCACCCTTTTTGCACATCCTGTCATGCATTATTTTATTACAATTACATTGCCAGTATAGAATAGCCTATTTATAGCATATTATATGATAGCAATTGGCGCACTGCTCTTTTGCAAGGAAAAAATAAATATTTATTAGGCCAGCATTTTTTATTTTTAGTTTTTTTCAAACCCCTTGTCAAATTTTTTAATTTTCAAAAAAAAAAAAATAAAATTGAGAAATACAAAATTAATTTTTTTCTTTCCGATGTCAAATTTAGTGGGAATGAGATTTCAAGTTTACAACTCTACTTCCGGTTGTGGATGAAACATGGCGGGAATGAATGTAGATTTGCCAAGTCCATGGGGACAAAAGTTGTTTAATGTTAATATTTATCGATATGAGTGTCATTCAAAACGTTTCACAAGTTCAGAGGACAAAAAAAATGCTGAGACTTTATTGCACAATGCCATGCTGGTGAGATAATCAAGTATCTGTCTGTAAATTATTTTCCCCCCCAAAGGGTTTAAAACTGTCCATGGTAGCTTTTGTCAAAGACATTGTTTAAGTTTCTGTTATACTTATAGCTTACAGTTTTACAAGCAGCATTCTTCAGAAAAGGGTGGCTTATGTATCAGATGTAATGAATAAAACTATTGGAGAAGTTAAGTCAATTTGAGGAAGAAATAAACAAAAGCCTAAAAAAATAAACAGGTCCAGCACAATACCCTGATAAGGTATATAGCTTGATAAAGCTATATAGCTTTATCAAGGTATTAGATATACCTTGATCAAGGAATTTAATGTTTTGAAAATAAAAAAAAAAAATTAAAAAATAAATACTGAAAATGAGTTCTGAGTTGTTGTCAGTAAATTCACCCATGCATGTAAAGTAATCAAACAAAAAAAATACAGTTTAAAAATTTGTTGTGTGAGGAGACGTTATTTTTTGCTTACTTGTTGAAACCAGAGTGTGCTTTCATGCACGAGTGGAAAATTGACAACAACTCCGAACTCGACTTTCAGTATTCAATTTTTAAAGATTTTTTTTAATTTTCATGACATAAATTACCTTGATCAAGGTATTTTAATAGCTTGATAAAGCTATATCGCTTTATCAAGCTATAAACCTTTATCAGGGTATTGTGCGGGCCATAAAATACTTCAACTGTTAAAAACAAATATTATGTACAAATATATACAGGTATGTAATCGTTTTTGGCAGCCAGAAAAAATTATTTTAGTCTTAATTAAAAAATTTTCACTCTGCTTCCCAATACTCCCTGTCTGTTTTATGAAAGGAATTATTATTTTAGGTTTCAAGTATATTTTAGAACATTTCTACACATTTACCAAAATCATATTATAAACAAAAATGAAATATTTAAAATTTTTAAAAATTGATTTTTTTTTTTTCTTTTTAATTTTATTTTGAAAATAACAAAAAAAAACACTGGGCCCAATAAAAATGATGAAAAAAAAAAAGGTTCATTTTCCACTTTGTAATTCTTATGTGTCCAGTGGCATGGAGCCTGTGAGGAGAGCATAAAAAAGAAGAAAAATGAATGTACAAAAGTCGATAACTTATCCAAAAAAAAAAAAATTTTTTTTCCTCCTCCTAGGCCTAAAATAAAATTAAGTTTGTTTGCAGTGGCCTACCGACCCACTGAAAATGCACCCGACCCAAGATTTTTTTTTTTAGCCATTTGGTAACTATGATAAGAGGAATGATATGATATGCACATGCTGTATTCCAGAACTTTTATTTTAGTGACACATATATTAATTGTATAGTGTTCAAGAAAATTCATAATACTGTAGATCACTAAATTTTCGCAACACCTATTTTCGCGAGATAATCATTGACTCTTTATTAGCAAAACATAATTTTCACGAATTGTTGTTTTTCCTCTATATAATCTTAAGGAATACTTTTAAACGCGAGAATGAAATTTTCGCGAGCTCATTGTCCGCGTAATTACGCGAAATTAAGTTCTCCTAATAAAACATGATTTACAGTAGTTTGATCATATGTCTGCTTACAGCCCAGTATCTAACTTATTAAATTGCTCTATACTATAATCTTAATTGATAATTAATTTATATTTTAATTATTACAGATTCTGATGATGACTTCCAAGTGTCTAATGTCGAAGAGTACAGGGAGAGATTTCAAAATGCTCTAACAGGATTAAATCTTCTCAGGCATTTTGATAGCTCAAAGTTGCCAAAGCGACAGAGACGCCTTCCAAAAAAACGAGGCCCTCCACCAAAGAAATTGAAAGTAAAGATGTATTTTCTCCAGAGGGGTCAAATCTACCCAAATTGTCAAAGATGGACCCAAATATCCCCATTCATCAACAGCACGGATTTGGTGAATATCCAACTAATACACATTTTTTTTAGAATATCAGTTTCTGTAATTTTTTCCTCTTTTTATTGCATGAATCACTGTGCATACAAATAGGACAATCAATTAAATAATAAAAAAGATAACTCTTGCTGTTTTGACAAAGTACAAGTTCCTTCATAAAAATAATTCTTCTTGACTCTACTAAAATTGTGCAAAATGGGCATTTTGATTAAAAAGATTTGATCATTTGATAAAAAAACCAAGGGAGAAATATGAAAATTCAGGAATGGGGTATTCATGCATAAATTTGTTTCACCTCTCCTACTGAATTAATCAAATAAATGAGAGGTTGGTTTAAAAAAGATAATTTTAGTATTAAAATTATTTTGGGTATTATTAAATAATTGCAGGATATCCAGCTTCCGTATATAATAACTTCAGAGGTGGTCATGTAGAGTTTGATTTAAATCAAAACGAGGAGGAGTTAAAAGATAAGATAAGAAAGTTATATCCTACAACACTAGAAGGCAAGGATTTCTACCTCTGCACCTTAGACCATGCCAGGAACTATATTCCCGTTCCTTGTATTCCAGAGGAATTAAAAAAACTTAAGTATCAGGGGACCATGATCATCAGGGTCAGTACTGTAAGTATCTGATGATTTGATATTTTTGCATACTGCCTTGTCAAGGATTGATAATTTCTATAGTAATTGTAATAAAGTTCAGTTATGTTTGTCAAGGTGAACTTTGTAATCTTTGGTTAGGTATGCTTCCTCTCCTCATTGCTCTTAATTGATTAAATAGACATTAAAAGTATATATTAATGCTCTCTTTCTCATTCCAAAAAAAAGGAGGGCATATTACTTTGCTGCTGTCTGTCAGTTAAGTCAATCTATCTGTCTGTCAGTCCACCAAGTTTCTCTTCTTTTCTAAGAAATATATAAAAATAACTGATTTCATGTTGCTTAGGGTAAAGAACGGATAAATTCCCAAGAAGATATCGATGGGCTGGAAGTATCCAGGTTAACAACGGACGGAAACATTACTACAAGGCCTTTCCAGTTAAGTGCTGGGCCCATTCCCCAGCCTGAACAAGTTTCCATGGTAATGTAATAGATTTAGGTCATGAACTTTTTTAATAAAAACACATTATGCACTTACAAGTATTTTCTCCTGTCAATACATGTACGGAAGGAACATATAGTAATGAATACATTATTTCTTGTTTAGCAAAATAGGTTGGCAAATTCTACATCTTTAAAGAAAGACGATGATGTCACACTTCCACAGGTAAGAATAAGTCAAGTTGGTGACACAAAAATAATACATTACACCCACTTAAAAATTTAAATGTACCTTTCCATTCCTCTTAAACGCTTATTCTTTCTACAGATACTGCTGCCAAGGAGAAGAGTGTCAAAAGCAGAATCTACTTGTTCTGTAAGTAATCTATGAATAACACCTACAGTACAATGAACTGTATACAGGGCTATATTTGCCCTGTGTTATTTTTGTCCTTTCACATTTGGCAACAAGTTTGCCCCGTTTTAAAATCACCAAAAAAGATTAATGTTTAAGATATTATACTGTGTACTTGTAATTCCACCATTTTAGATTCGCCCACTTCTGACGAGAACGAAAGGGGCAAAAATAAAATGGGGCGAAAATTTCCTTGTGTGCAGTATTTTGATGTCCCTCTTTGAAGAAGGGAGGGCATATTGCTTTGCTGCTGTCTTTTGGTTGGTCAGTTGATCTATCTGTCAGTGCACTAAGTTTCTTTTCATTTTCTTTGCAGAGGTTGTACTTGTTGAAATGTCAAATTTGGTTTACAGATTTATCCTAAGAATATGTATATCAAGTTCTTTTTTGTATATATACAAGCCATTGTTGACAGAGTTATGCTCCTTGGACTTAGAAAAGTCAGTGGTTGAAGGCATGCCATTTCAATGCTCAATGGCTGTAAGTGCTAATATAGGAGAAAATTTGCAGCACTCCATTGCAAGTTAGGGGTGAAACGATACGCATCCTTCACGGTTCGATACGTATCGAAAAATTTGGTCTCGGTTCGGTTATTTTCGATACAATACATTTTGATAGAAGGAAACATATTCAATGTTTTTATGCTACCTTTTACTTAATCTAGTAAAATAATTTATGTACAAAATGGATAGAAAGTATCAATTTAATTGATTTGATTGTTAAAAATTATTTTACAAATTTCGAGTCCACACAAACTTATGTTTCTGAACTAATTACATAGAAAACATGTTTACAGGTTTATACTTTATGCCAAACCCAACTGAATGATGATCCCGACCGAAAAACGAACCGAACCGAAAGTAGAGATTTTGTACCGTGCATCGAACCGAGAAAAAATACCGCGGTGAACCGTTTCACTCCTACTGCAAGTAAAAATTTCTTGAGAGGCACTTTACTACAAACAAATATGACAGATATATATGAAAAAAAAATTAAGATTTAAAAGCAGATGTTCTAGCATCATGATCATTTAGGCTATATGAATTCAATTCTCTGGTTCTCAGGCCAATTTAATTTTCTCCAAACCAAATGCGAGATGGAGGCATTTTATTTATCGTTTTATTGGCAATAAAGTAAGTAAGGGAGGTTATTTTCTTTAATTTTAAATTTCCAATTTTCTTTGAGTAAAGATAATTTATTTTGTTCATAGATATACTTTCCATGTCTAATCAAAAGATTTACTTAATCCATTGCTTATCAGCATGTGAACATCGGAGGCAATGTCTTTGAATGTATTTTCAAACGAAGTAGCCAAAATCTCTTCAAATGGCTACCGGAATGATATTTGAGTACTAAACTACAAAAAATGAGGAAAGAACTTTTTCCAGATTATTCTCAGCTATATCAATTTTTTTATGTTATCAAAAAATACAATAAAATTAGCAATGCAGCTACCTCAAAATGGATGCGCACGGACCAGAGAACCAAAATTTCATTTTATGTACTGTAGCCTAACAGGAAAATGATTTTGTTGTATTCAATTAATTGTCAATAAAAATGATATGGCCATTTGCTAAGTTATTTGCCACTATACACAAAAAGAGATGAATGTTTTCATTTATAGGAGAGGGAGCTGTATATTTATGGAAAGTTCTGTTGAGATTGTGGCACAGAGACTTTGTTTTTAAATATAACGTAATGTAAGTCATGTTAAAAGAATGTACAGAAATATATAAAAATAACTGATTTCATGTTGCTTAGGGTAAAGAACGGATAAATTCCCAAGAGGATATCGATGGGCTGGAAGTATCCAGGTTAACAACGGACGGAAACATTACTACAAGGCCTTTCCAGTTAAGTGCTGGGCCCATTCCCCAGCCTGAACAAGTTTCCATGGTAATGTAATAGATTTAGTTCATGAACTATTTTAACAAAAACACATTATGCACTAACAAGTATTTTCTCCTGTCAATATACATACAGAAGGAATGTATAGTAATGAATACATTATTTCTTGTTTAGCCAAATAGGTTAGCAAATTCTACATCTTTAAAGAAAGACGATGATGTCTCACTTCCACAGGTAAGAATAAGTCAAGTTGGTGACACAAAAATAATACATTACACCCACTTAAAAATTTGAATGTACCTTTCCATTCTTAAACACTTATTCTTTCTACAGATACTGCTGCCAGCGAGAGAGAGTCTCAGAAGCAGATTGTACTGTAAGTAATCTATAAATAACACCTACAGTACAATTTTTTTTATACTCCTCCAAGAAGAAAGGAGGGCATATTGCTTTGCTGCTGTCTGTCAGCCAGTTGGTCTGTCTGTCTGTCCACCTTTTAGTTTCCTTTCATTTGCTTCACAACTTTTGCACATACTGAAATGAAATTTGGTATACAGTTGAAATGAAATTTGGTATACAGATTTATCCTAAGAATATCTAGGTAAAGTTTTGTATTGGGTATGATCATTTTTCACAAGATTTAAGTTCTGCAAATTAGGTCTAATCAAGCCATTTTAGACAGAGTTATGTCCCTTGGACTTAGAAAAGTTCTTAATATGTCTAAGAGGGGGCATATATGTGTTTTAGTTACAAACATCTCTTGTTTATATAGAAAACATGTCACATGTTTATCCAGATACGTCGAATGACTGCCTCCAGCTGATATTTACGCAAGAATATTTTATTGCCGTTTTTCAGTTCTGTTTTTCAGTCTCAACCAGATATTTTCAATAATGTTCAAATCAGGAGTCTGAGCGGGCCAAACCAATGAATGCAGATTATTCTGTAATTTATATTCTTGAACTATCCGGGCTCTGTGAATAGGAGCGTTGTCGTCTTGAAATATATAGTTATATATTTTTCGAGGAAAAGATATATCTGGCAAAAGTTGATCTTCAATTATATTAATGTATTTTTGAGCATTAATGTTACCATCTACAACAGTCACAATCCTTACACTGTTGAAGTGATGCAGCCCCATATCATTAAACTAAACTTCGGTGTTGGAGGTTGCAAGAGACAACATGGCATCCACTCTTCGCCAACCTTTCTCCATAAAAAACCGGTTATCAGTCCCAACGTCTACTTTGAAAATAATTTTTGCTACGTAATTGTGACATCTACAGTCACATGGATATGCTTTATATATAAAATTTATTTAGTCAGCATTGAGCTTTGTACAATGCAATATAAATAACGATTTGTTCAATTGATTATAAAAAAAATTTTGCATTAAAATAAACAAAATATTTTTTCAAAATAAATGTATATATATGTTGCATATCACAAAATTTTTTGTACTCACCTGGTGTTAATTTTTATTTATTTAATTCATATTTTAATATTAATATTTAGCATATTTATTTTTTGTTTATAGATGGAAAATATCCAAAAAAGACGCAATTTAATGGCTCTTCAAGACATAGAATATCAGGAGAGTTTGCGTAAAGATAGAGAAAAAGTTAGTTTTCATATTGAAGCTAACACTACTTGTAAAAAGCATAGTCCGCCATATTTCTTTCCCATTTTTCAATGCTCTCTACAACCCCTATTTTAAGAGCCCGATCGCTTGTCAGTTCACTGTATTTTGCTGTAGAGATCCGACAAGTTTAGTCATATTTCTTATACCGTCTAGAGCCATGCTCTCGGGCATGATGAAATCATCAATTTTTACATATTTTTTTCAAAACAAAAGCATCATGAAAAATCTTGTTAATATATTGTTTACAAACAGAAATGTACATAAAAACAAGGAATAAACAAAAAAAATCTAAGAAAAAGAAATGAATAATACTACTTATGTTGGCCAAAGTTTCCAAATGTGCAATCTGGTGTAATGAAATCGGAACAATTTATATACCTGTCTGACGGTGGCTATTTATGAGAAGTGTTCAGCTTTAAGTAGGTCTAGATGTAGGAAAAGAAGGTTATTTTCCACCATTTAACTTGTGGGGGAAAAAAGAAACTTCTGAATTAACTTTATTGCTCATTCAGGATGCATTTTAGCAAACAAACTTTTAATAATGTGGCTATTAGCCTATTACATTAAATGGAGATGGGTTCAAAGGGGCCAGGTATTTTTGGTAAGAAAAAAAGTTTTATGACCCCCCCCCCCCCAAAATTTCCCAAAACCCAATTGCACATTAATCCAAAAAATTATTTGTCTACTACCTTAAATTTAAAATTTTTTAAAAAAATATTGAAGTTTTGTGGACATATTTTTTTAAAATGAATATAAAAAGACATTGCCAAGAATTTCTGAATAACACATTTGAGATATTAACTTCAGATTAAAAATAATTCTTTTATTAAAGGTTCAAAAGATCAAAGAGCAAGAACAAAGAATGCCGAATTTTCAGAAAGTGAGCACTTTTTAGCTCACCTGAGTTAAAGGCTCAAGAAACCTTAAGACAAATTTTGCCCATTCCCTCCGTCTGTCTGTAAAAATTTTCACATTTTCAACTTCTTCTCGAGAACCACGGGGTCAATGTTAACCAAATTTGGTACAAAGCAACCTTGGGTGAAGGGGAATATAAATTGTTAAAATGAAGGGACATGTCCCCTCGCAAGGGGGGGATAATCAAGAAAAGACAAAAATAGGGTGGGGTCATTAAAAAATCTCAAAAACAACTTGCACAGAAAAGCTAAACTTATTTGGATTCATTTTTGGATAGTGTAGATTTTAAATTGTGCAAATCATGACCCCTGGAGGTAGGGCAGGGTCACAATATGTAAACCAAGTTTGACATTGAAATAAATATTAGGAAAAATCTTTTTTTTTTTTGGGGGGGGGGGGGGGGGGGGGGGGTTTTTGGGGAGAAAAGCTGTAACTTATTTGAAAGTGCTCATGGTGGTATTTTTATTTTGTATTGTCCAAATTATTACCCCCGGGGGTAGGGGGGGGTCACAAAAAGGGAAAAGAAAGGGGAAATCTGGTAAAGAAATGCTATTAGGTGAGTGATGTTGCCCATAGGACTCTTTTTAGAATCATCTTGTTTCATAAAATCTGTGTACCTATTAATATCATGATTGAGTAATTAGCATTATACACAATATATAGTGAACTGATAACAATGATTAATGTTCAATTTGATAAATAACCTCACAGAACTTACATATGTAATGTCACCCTTTGTACATATTAAACAATTTTTAAGTTGAGAGAGGAAAAAGATTAAAAATACCAACTGAACCAGAGGAGGGATAGAATAAAAATTAAACGGCAATACCCTAACAAGAAGATTTTTGCAAACCACACCAGTGGAGGTAAGATTTATATTCTACCCATGCAAAAAATTAAGATTAAGTGTAATGAATGTAATAGATGGTTTGGATTCAAATCAGTTGGAAACACTATGCTCCTGGCGGAAACAAAGTTTAAAAAAAAATACCGTATATACTCGCCTATAAGTCGGTCTGCCTATAAGTCGGTTGTATTTAATAAGCTTGTATCATAGAGACTGACCTCATAAAATACCATTCATTTTATAGCTCGCATATAAGTCGGACACAGAGTTTTGGACCAGAAATTAACTACCAAAAATCCGACTTATAGGCGAGTATATAGGGTATTTTTAGCATATAGGTCACAGTCAAGGTCATAAGGTCTTTGATCCTAATTGTCATTTAAAAGAACATTATTAGTGTAGTATGCATACCAAATATGAAGTCTCCATCTGCTATGGTTCAAAAGATATGGTAAAAATTTAAAAAAGCTAGTTTAAGCATTTAGATTACAGTCAAAGGTCAAAAGGTCAATGATCTTGTCATTTGAAAGAACTATCAGTGAAGTAAGCATACGAAAAATGTAAACTTTATTTCCTATGGTTAAAACATGGCGAAAATTAAAAAAACTAATTTTAGCATAAGGTCACAGTCAAGGTCAAGAGGTCATTGACCATGGTGTCATTTGTATGAGTTTAAGTAGCTTCTTTTATCATATTAACAAAGGATCTATTAAAATAAAAAAAAAAATAACCCTTAGGATTTAAGTCAAATATTAAGGGGCGTATTTGCAGAAATGACATGTATTGAATTTGTCAAAACACGCATTGATAAAAAAATGGGGCACACAGTTACGCAGAAGCTAGCGACTGTAGATAAGTATTACACCACTAAAGTACTGCATACGAAGGGGGGGATTGATACAAAAATTACCTAGCTACTGATATAAATTAAGGTTAACTCAGTGTTTGATACTTCACAAAAGAAAATACATATTTTTAAATTACCAGGAATATTCTTACTGATAGTAAAAGCAACAATAATTTTCATTTCGGGGGAAAGAATGGGGAAAATTTAGATAAAATTGATTTTGTATATGTCATTTTACAGATAGATGGAATCTCTTAAATTCTCTATAGTTCTCTTTTTTTAAGAAGCTTACACAGGGTTTGTACATGCATAAATTTATATTTTATTAGGGATCCAATGCCAATTTCCTTTGATTTATCTGAACTAAATGCCATACTATTAATGAAGATTTTTTTCACACTCATATACTCTCGTTACAATATCATGGTAAATGTGGGTTCAGGAAAAGATATTAGTGTAGCATGTGGTTATTTTACCTATAGTATGTCATCTTCTTTGTCAAAAAAGATTGTTTCTCAGTTTTATACTAAAGGTTTTGCTGGTATTTTCAAAATTTATCTAAATAAATGCTAAAGGTCTTGCTGGTATTTTCAAAATTTATCTAAATAAATGCACGCAGCAACTGTCCTTAGCATTTTTTTTTTTTACTATGAACAAAATACTCTAAAATTTATCATTTTTTTGGAAATAAAAATCTGCATAGTAATTTGAAATTCAGGGAGTAAATAGGTTACATTTTTGGGTGAAAAAAATTTTCTGGATTTGAGCTCTGCTGATCTCTGAGGGTCTATTATGGTAAAGCTTGATATTAGAGGTGTTGTAACTGGTGAGATGTAAAATTATGATATTACCTTTTTATTCTTTTTTATTTGCAGGTTTTGATGAATTTTATTGGCAGTATGCCATCTTCATCCAAATTTTTTAAAGTAGCTATTCCTGGAAAGGAGAATCCTTTATATTCTCATTTATATCATGGGTGTTTGAGGAATGTTGGCCTCCTTTAAGTTCTGTGTTACAAGTTACCTGGCTAAGTGAGGTATGTATAAAAATATTCTAAAAGTAAAAGGTTGAAGTTTTTTTCTGGTTCTTTTGTAAATTACACTTCTCTATAATGTGTAGGGTGAGTTCACCATGCATCGGACACATACCTTGCTTCGGACAACTTTAGGCAATAAACTCTCTTTCAACTTAAGAGTTCCATGTATTTATTTGTTTCTGTCTTAAAGATGAAGATTTAAATTTTCTAATGACACCGATTGTCATTATCATGCCGTGATAAAAATACCCCGATAATGGCCTTAAAGTTATGTCATATTTTACATCATCAAAGGGGAATAACCAGGAATTTATGATTTAGCAATTTTTAGAGTTATCGTTCTTTAAATTCGACTTCAACGGAACAAGTCAGACTTTGGTGAATTTTGTTAAAGTTTTGGCAATTTTGCATAATTTTAAAAAAAAATCTCTTCAATGCTTGTATAATTTTTTCTAGAGCTGGTTTTTTCTAGACGGACACGAATGGGACACTTTCTGATGCAAAGGTATAAGCACCACCATTTTTATGCAGAACCTAATTGACAGCTGTTTTTTGCGGAAATAGAAAATAAAAATTCTATATTTTTATTCAAAAAACAAATTATCGATATATGACGTCTAGAATTTGACTCCATTTATCTCTACAAACCAGAAAATTATAAACCATGAGACAATGGCGCAAATTACCGCATTACAAGCATTTTAAAGCATTTTTAAGGCAGAGTGAGGTATCTCGAATGGTTCTACATTTATGCAACAAAATCGTCAATTAAATTTATGTTGAGGGTGATTTCTTAAATAAAATATAAAATATATCCATATCAAGGACTTTAAAGCATTATGATAAAGGTATGATATTTTTTTGCTCCAAATACCGTCTGTCCGATGCATGGTAAATAATACTGTAAACCAAGTATTATACGCGTGCGAAATATCCAGTTCCGCAGATCCCCTGGGCCGCGGATATTTATTGTCGCGAACCAGTTGTTCATTATATTCCTATATTATGTTTTATTTAGAGTTATTTGCCCTTTTTTCAAAACCGATCCGACGGTTCAATAATTAATCAAGGAAGGACTATACTGTTATTGTACAAGAAGCAGTTAAAATTTAATTTCAAACATTCAGAAAAAATAAAAACGAATGTCAAAATCATTTCAGCTTGTGTTATAATTGTTCATTTATTGTTACAGACGAGTCGAGATCCGAGGTAGCCTGGTTAATTATGGCTAATTATGACCCAGTCCTGCTCTGTCCCAACCATATATAATAATTGCCCCTTGGCTATGTAGATCTTGGAAAGTGTTGATTACCCAATTAGTATGAGGCACTTTAACAATTGAGAGTTTTAAATCAATTTTAATCTCCTATTTTTCCCTTTTCGTCTGAGCGTTGTGAAAATGTGTATATGGAGTATACTCAAGGTAAACATTTTACCCACTTTAGGGGCGGATATAAGATTTTAAATGGACGCAATGCACAGAATGTCTTGAAAAATGTGAAACCGACCTCACGCTATCATTTTACCTAGTTTATGGGTGAATATAAAATTTAAATTTGATTCAAAAATACTCATGGAAATGAAAAAATGTGACCACTCGTTCGCGGATATTAATCGTCGCGGATTAGTTCTCTAGCGATCAGTCGCGAATAAAAAATGACGGTATAATAATTGGTTTACAGTATCTGATCCATGGTGAATTCTGAGTTATTTTTAAAACCTCGATTTATGAGGATATTTTCTCAATAAAAAGGGATAAAATTGTGTCCAAAATTTATATTTTAATCACATTCAAAATGTTAAAATCATTTTGATAAAATTCTGTCTGTAGCGATATCACTAAAACTTGTTGAAGTACAAGAGTATCCGTGCATGGTGAATTCACCCTAAATGTTTATGTTGACACCAATCAAGGGCCCTCAGGAAGCATACAATTGTTAAAGTATGATTACAATTCTTTCATGGAGGTACATATGGGAGAAGTGTAATACCACATGTTGAATCATCATGAAAATTTAAGATTTGTCAAATCAAACATTTACATAGCTACTTTAATTCTATTATGTTCCAGGATGAAGTTACCCTTGAGGAAGTTAATGTGATGGAGACTGACCAACAACCCTCTACATCCTCTTCTATTCCTCGTCCCCAGAGACAGGCTGCTGCACTTTGCAATGTAAAAATGAGAGATTGGCTTATTCCAAAGTCAAGCTTACAGCAAGTAAGCTAGATCGAGAACATTTCATGCACATGCATGTATATTCATGCCACATTTAATAAGTTTATACTACTTCAAATAGATATTGTACTTAATATAGTGCATTCTTTTTAAGAGTAGGGTTTTGACTGTTGAGAGCTCTGATGATGACTCCCTTCCAGATATTCCAGACACTTACAGGTATTTATTTTTTCCTGTGATTTAGCGGATGCACTTGTGCTTTAATTACATGTACTTTGTTGCTCATAGTTTATTTCTTTAAGTAATTCCAGTGAAATTTCAAATGGACATTAATATCACCTTTGGAACAGAGTCCAATAACTGAAATACTTTATACAATATTATAAGCATCAATACAATGGGAATTGACTAAAACCTATGGCACGCTTAGCTCACAAGAATGAGCTAAACATAGTTTCACAGTTGAAAACTATAGTTAACAAATTGTTAACTATATGAAGCGTGCCATACTTGTCAGCTGCATAATTTAGGATGTGAGACAGGCATTATTTCTATGCTTTATCAGATTAATTAACCATTTCAATTTATATTTTATAGGAATTATGTTGATGTAGCATGTATTTCATCCGATTATCCTCTGAATCAGAAATAGACAAAACAAATTATCCTGAATTGACCACAGAGCCTGAGGAGTAAGTCTAACATAGATACATTGAAAATGAATGAACCAATAAGAAATGTATTATAGATGATATTGATGATAACTCAATTATTTTTAGAAATGACCCTTTGCTCACCTTGACAATATTGTCATCCAAAATTCAAACATCTGCTGTCACGCGCATCAATGTCAACAGACAAAATGTTTGGGAGTGCACCATCAGAAAACTTAAAAAGAAAGATTTTATGCCATTTAACGACCTTCTTATTAAGTTTTCGGATCAATTTGGAGAGATGGAAGAAGGGATTGACCAAGGTGGTCCCAAGTGGGAATTTTTAGATCTTTTGATGGAGTATACCCTCAACTCCTCACTCTTTGAAGGATCTTTGACATCCAAATACTTGTCATGGAACAAGAAAGGTATTAAAAATATAAAAAATTTTGATACAGTAGATAAAAAAAAAAATTGCCTTTCATTCAGAGACTTGTGACTGACTGACAAACATAGTTTTGAACTAAATTCTTGTTTACTCTTTTCATTTAGCATTTGAATTAAAACCAACACTTCATTAAGGGTAGGTTAATCTAAAATTATATGTGCATGTATGAGATTAACTGCATTGAGATTTTAACAGAAATTTTAAACAAGCAATTCTTGTCATGATTTTCATGCATAGATTGTGTACATGGTCAACTCTGCTGAAATAGGTATTCAATAACTTCATGTAATTATAATCACTTTGAATTCAACTAGTGCTAATTGTAAGGGGGCCGTTACAAAGTTCCCCAAAAGCTCCCCATGTCCCTTATGTGCCTTATTCCTCTAAGACCTTTTATAAATATGCTAATATAAGTATCTCAGGATTTCATTTAAGAATATAAAAGTTACAATG